TTGCGCAGGCGCAGCGGCACCTGCAACGGCCGCTTCGAGTCGGGCTTCAGGACGGTGTCGAAGAGAGCCTGGAGATCGGACTCGGAATTCTGGTCGACCCTGACGACGGGATTACTCTTGGACAACTGGTCCACGTCTTGATTCAGCGCCATTTTGGATCACACGTTCGCTGCTCTCTTACTACTCTTCCTCTGCCTGTTGCTTACGTCCTCTTCGTCTCTCCCTTTCCCTCTTCGTATCACCGCGTCCTCGTCGCTCTTTCTGCGCCTATCTATTCGCCGCTTCCGCGCTCCGACTTTACTCCGCGGATCACCTTCTTCACGACTAATACACAACGCCGTGATTGCCGTCGCCGTCGCCGTCGCCGTCGCCGTCGCCGTCGCCGTCGCCGTCGCCGTCGCCGTCGCCGTCGCCGTCGCCGTCGCCGTCGCCGTCGCCGTCGCCGTCGCCGTCGCCGTCGCCGTCGCCGTCGCCGTCGCCGTCGCCGTCGCCGTCGTCGTTGTCACCGTCACCGTCGCTGCTGTTGAGCACCAGCAGCGTTCCGCGCGATACCAATGGGGATAGTCTCTCTCTCAGTTCTCACCGCCCTCCGCCCTGACAATCTCCACACTGCGTGCTCCACAGATCGCTTCCCCGATCTCCGTCAATCTCGGTGTTATGGGTAGCCCACACTATTCGAGACTGCGAGAGTCTTACTCTTCTCGGAGAGTCGGTTCCACCTCTCCGACGATACGACTCGCCCTACCTGAGTGGACACGTGACGAGTGCGAGAGCACAGGAAACGAGACCTGAGAAAAAAAGAGTAAGAGAAACGGAGAAAGAAAGAGAGAGAGAGAGAGAGAGAGAGAGAGAGAGAGAGAAAGGGAAGAGCGCTCTCTCAATCTTCCAGAGATCCCGCCTATCGCTCGCTCACTGTCTGCGTTGAGCGTTCGTCTAGCAATTCGATGATAACGCACGACGTCGTACTCGATGTCGTACTGTTGTCGTACGTGTCGTTCAACAAGTCTCTTCCTGAACGGCGCGATGCACATTCGTCAAATGAACGAATTCACTGTCGTTGTTTTCGTGATCTCCTTACGCTCCACTATTCCTCGATACTTCACTACGGAGTATAACGACGACGTCGGCGGCGACGGCGACGGCGGCGAGGAACATGATACGCAAAACGAATTTATGGCACCGCGGAAGCGCGACGGCCGGATGGCCGAGAATCGTCGAGCATTAAGAGGAGCACTTTGAGGAAGTCGCGATCATGAGCCGCGACCCAACGCGACGCGGCATGCGGATTGCGGGGGAACGTGAGGACTGAGGATAAGGAGGAGGAGGAGGAGGAGGAGATGCACGAGCTTATTCTCCTCTGGAAGAGTCGCGACCCGACTCGGCCACACACCGTCCCGGTCTCCGTGTGAGAACTGCTGCTCCGATCCAACGAGAATGGTTCTGATACCTCGTCGCTGCGTTACGTCGATTCGGCTCAGCCCGCTCGGCTCACTCGGCTGGCGGCGATCTGGCAACAACCTGCGTCGCACTAATGATACCGCAGCTTTGGCAACTCTGTGCTCTGCTGTGCTGTGAGGCCGGTGAGCCTCCGGACGGACGGGAAAAAGCGATATCTCTCTCTCTCTCTCTCTTTCTCTTTTCCCCTGTCACTGTGCGGTGTCGGATCTCGCCCCGAGCTAACCCAAGCCAAGGCGAGTCAGGCGAGTGGCGTCAGCCTGTTGCTCCTTGGCGAGCCAGTGGCTCCGAAGTAGGCGCCGCTGGTGGGGGACGACGCGCCGGACAGCAAAGGGACTCTCGGGGGCTTTGACGCGTCGGCGGATGAAGGGGGAGAGAAGTACGCCTAGGCGAATACTCAATGCTACATTACCTTGCTTTTCCGTCAACAGTTTCCTCTAAAGGCTATTTCGATTACTTTCATTGATGATTAAGTAATTCAATCTGCAGAATTAAACTTAAAAAAAAGCAACTTAGAGCAACATTTCTAAATTAGTATATAATATATTATCCATACGTTAAACAATAAAACATTAGTGATTCTATCTATTGACAAAATAATATATTATTATTTGACAAGTTAATCACCATTGATCACTGTTAATAAAAGTTTAACTGAGTTGTTTTACAAAAAAATTTTGAGGCTTAACACGTTTGGCTCTTCTTAACTTTTAATCGCTTTTATAGCACAGATTTTAAAACATTTTAAGTAAAAAACTCACTGTTACAACTTTGTTTTACGTTACTCAGTAGAAAAATTTTTAAGACAAATTCTAAAGACTCTAAAAATTTTTTAATCGTTGATCGTAAATCGTTCATCACGACATCGATGTGTATAATAATAACGATGCGTTAACTATTCAACAGCTCTGAGAGTTATTCATGTTAATTTTGTTCAAATAAGATTCATTTTAATTCAATTCAAATGGGATTTCTTAAATTCAAATGAGATTTAAATTTCGCGATTAACTATGGTCATTCAAAATATATCGAACTGCGATTCTCGAAATATCGAAACGTTCCAATTGAGAACCTCTGATGAGAGTCCGGAACACGAAACAACTACTTCTGATTGGTCTGCCATGCTTTGACAACTTCTGAAAAAAAGAAAGAGAGAAAGAAATAAAAAAGATAAATAAAATACCTTCTCTCATGTGATTTTGGTAAAACTAGAGATCCTACATACAAAATGCGGCTTATATCTAAACTTTTATTAGAGAGTCTCTAGTTACAACGATTGTGAGAGCAACTATCAACGAGATGTATTAAAAACGACAGGTTTTAAGTTCGAGTGATTGTTAAAATTTAAATGATTAAGCATAAAAAAAACTCATAATATAGTATTAACTTTATGATTTGTTAGTTTCTTAGACATATATATTGAGTCATCTAAAAAGTATCCGCGGTTTTTTGTCACTAGATGTGTGTCGATGGTCATATATCTAGTAACAAAGTACCGCGGATACTTTTTAGATGACCCAATAAATATATATATATATATAACCAGTATAACATATAATAGTATAAATTGATCTATAAATATAGCATTTACATGACAAAAGATCATAAATTTAATAATATATTATTCAAATATTTATATAATATTTATATAAAAAATACTATTTTTATATAAAAAAATATAAATACTTTATGTATATGTTAGTATATAATCGCAAACTTATATCAATTATCGATAATATCATCGTTCTTCTATTATCCCCAAATCCTCGAGGCCCTATTGATATTCATGAAAATTTGTTCAGGACCAACCGTCTCTAATATCTCGTCGATGATGTAACCTTCGCAGAATAAAGCCAGCAACACACTTTTTTAATATTGCCCAATAACAGCGTATTATCGATATTTGATGAACAACCAATCGCGTTTCAGCCAAAATGGCGCAACCAATCATTTGTTCACTTTTCTTTTCCAACTGAACTTTTTCTCCTTTCTATCATTTTTCTTTCTTGTAATCGTTTGTGTAACATGCAATGCCGAATCTACCTTTTTATATGTCTATGATCTAACGGATCTAACCGAAATCAAAATTTAAATACACGTTGTATCACATTGTACTTTGCTCCAGAAGAAACCAAGTACCATTAAAGAAGAAAAAGAAATTTGGAAAAAGATTCGAGATGTCGGAATTATATGGTGAGAGTGTGAATAACACGAAGATCGAGGAACATCTAGAAAAGAGCGTGATCAGTCAGGATGATTATAAAAAGATGAAGCAAGAGAATGAGAATTATCGACAGGAGTTGTATGTTTTGCGACTCAAATTGGAAACTTCCGACGCGATTGTAAGAGATCTTCAGGATTCTGGAGAGACTTTGGAAAATAATTTCAAAGAATACGTACGACAAGCAACCGTGTCATCTTCTGAGAAACAAGAAAAGTAAGAATCATTTTTTTTCGTAAAAGTTATCCTAGTACAGACAAAGTGAATACAAGCAGTTGCTTCTGAGCTTTTTGCGTTGATATATTAATGGCAAGTCGTGATCTTTAATTTAAACTGAAGGTCACAGTGTATCTGAGGAATACAAATATCTTAAGTCTGACAGTACTGACAGAGTTATCTTTTGTAACAAAAAAAAAAACAATATGAATACATGAAAAATATTATGTTTTATAACAATGCATTAAAATTTATATTTTTCTGTTTCATATTGTAATATGATTGACCAATTGTCTATCCAATCACATACGATATATTAGAATCTTAATGACTCGTGTAACAGCTACTGTTTATCCAATAAGTAAATAGTATCACTTGAAGATATTTATAAACATATATTATATATACCTCTCCTCCAGATATACCGCAATCTCCTGATGATTAATTAAAAAGACAGATTTTAAACATTTAACCGTTTGATATTTATTTTTTATTTTTCAATCAAGATTTTTTTATGTTAATCCTAATAATGAAACTTATTGTTTATTATATATTGTACATTTATAAAGAGATATATGCTTCATATATTTTATTCATTTTTAGGTATAAAGCTGAGCAAAAAGAATATGAAAATCATATTGCAAATCTAGAAACAAACCAAGTAAAAAATGAATTAGAAATTAAAGAATTACAAAAAGAGTTGAAGAAATATAAAAATCTTGTAAATAATCAATCATCTAATGCAATGGCAGATACTTTAACAATGTATAAAGAGGAACTTAGGGAAACACATATGCTGCTTCAAAATGAAAAAGAGAGGTTTCTTCAAAAAGAAAAAAATGAAAAAACATTGATGGATAAACTTGCACATAGAGAGGTTCAATATGAAGAGCTTCGACTTGATTTACAAGTAAAATAATAAGTTAGATTTATATTTATCGATTGTAATACATCAGACTAATTGGAAACATTTTAATAGAAAATAACAAAGGATCTAGCGGAAAAAGATAAAGAATTGGAAAATGCACGGGAATCTGCTAGAGAATTAGCTGCAAAACTTGAAGAATTGGAGTCATCAAATATAACTCCTGCTAGTGATATGTGCAAAGGTAATTTGTACATATTTAATTGTATATAGATTTTAACATTCATACTGTTTTAGGAAATTCTTTATTTGCCGAAGTTGAAGATCGTCGGCAAATGCTGTTGGATAAAATGAAAACGCTTTCCACTAAATATAATGAAGTAAAGCAAGCACTGGATTCGAAATCATGTGAAGTCAAGCTGCTGAGAGCAGAGAAAATCGCCATTTCCAGGAAATGGGAAACTGATATAATTGATACATTGCAAGAGAATGCAGATCTTTTGGTTAAATATAAGAGTAGAATCTTTGATCTTGAGAATAAGTTGAAGGTTGAAATGAGAAA